ACATTTGTGATTTGAAAGTTCCCCACTCGGATTCGGGGAGGAACAATGGCACTCGCATACCCTTCATTTGGGAGAACTCTTGGGACTGCTCTTGGCGGTGGCGGAGGAGGGTCTGGGATAGGATTGTTGTCATTGGCCTGACGGCCTCTACATGGAGCTTGAGGTACGGGAACCTCATCATGATCAACATCTTCTACCTCCTCCCCCGCCATGGCATTGCCAATAGGATCATTAGCATTTAAAGCCATAATACCTGAATGATCGACACAAACAAAATTAGTAAACAAGAAGGAAAGAGAAGCAAAACACAAAACGAGCTAAATAGATAGTCAACACCGTAAGCTCCCCGGCAACGGCGCCAAAAAGTTGATCGCTACCAACTCGACACTACACCAAGGTAGGAAGAGCGGGTCGCTATAGCTTTTACCCGAATAGTGGTCGGGATCGATTTCCACAGTGAGCTAGTAGTGGAGTTGGATTTTCTGTCTAGTCTAGAGATGTGTTTGTGCTCCTAATGTCACTTCAAACATTCTTGGTTTTTGATTTTTTTATAACTACTGTGATAAAACTAATGATTAACGCTAAATTATGCTACTAGAATATTGCTAAGTTGTATCTAATGGGAAGAAGGGCACTAGGGTCATGGCATTACCTAGGTGGTTAATTGATGGGTAGTTGTTACTAAGGATAGATTGACATATTTGGGGCTTATGCTATAACCGTTGCACAATTGTACCCACTCTCACACCTCTCGGTAAAGAGAGTGATTTTGCCCAATTGACTCTCTCGAGACCAATTGGGTAGGCCAATTAGTTCAAGAAACTAGGGTTCAAGTAGGGTGATTACTCTCTCGAGATTTAACCCGTTAATTGGGACTATCATTTCTCATGAGTCCATCCCAATTCCTTGTTGGGTCAATTTTGGGGTCATAGACTCTCTTTCTCAAGAAGAGTCAAACCCACAAAGCTTGAATCAGTATTTGCAACCACAAATTCTTAAATAAAAACATAAAATCAACCCAAATAGCAAACACCCATAATCAATCTAACCCTAGATGGCAACACCCATCAATTACCCACACTAGGGTTGAGCCACAACCCTAGCTAATGGGTTTAGCTACTTATTCTAGATACAGAAATTGAAGAAATAGATGAAGAACTAAGCATATTAATTGATTACTAAGAAGAAACTACAATAAATCTATCGTTAATGAAGAGCAAAAGTGCCAAAAATGGCTACAAAACCGAGTCTCACGAGCGCAGCTATGTCTGGGATATCAAACTTGACCTAAAAATGGTAAAATGTCCTATTTATACTAGGCTGGAAAAACTGGACAAAAATACCCCTGTGGGGTCAGTGCGGGCCGCGCAAAATGGACCGCTGCCGCACTGGCTCTTGGACTTCAATTTATGCTTCTTTGAACTTGAGGACCGCAGACCGCGTGAAAGTGTACCACGGCCGCGGTGGAAGTTGGCGCGGCCGCACAAAGACGAGCACGGGCTGCATTGCTTGGAATTGGCAAAATTATGGCTCTCTGAATCTCTGCTCAGCGGACCGCGTAAAAGAGTAGCGCGGCCGTGGAGCCTGAACGCGGACCGCACTAAAGAGTAGCGCGGCCGCGTTGCCTCTGGCTTGAAAATGCCACTCTCTGAACCTCCTAGTGCGGCCGCATTCACATTTGCGGGGTCCGCACTAGGTTCTCTTTTCCTCAATTTACTTAGTCTTTGACACTTGAGCAGGTTTCACTCCTTTTTGAGCCGATCTTTGATATTCGTCGCTTTGTCGTTCAAACCTGCAATCAAGTACAACTTGTGAGCATTTTGGGACTATTTTGTAGCAATTTATAACCAAAGCATAGGCAAGTAGGGCATAAAACATGTTAAAGTCCCGACTTATCAACCGCCTTCATCTTTTTGATCTCATCAGTTGTTTTTGGGGACTGATCTTTCGACAGAGAGATTCCATGTCTAAAAGGGAGAAACCCTTTCTTGGAATCTTGCATGCTAAACCTGGTGAGAATAGTATCAATATAAAGTGCTTGGGACAAGCCTAATATCCTTTTCTTGTGATCTCGCATAAGCTTGATCCCAAGGATATGTGCTGCTTGTCCCAAGTATTTTATAACGAAACGTGAGGACAACCATTCCTTTACCGAATTCAACATGCTCACATTATTTCCTATGAGCAAAATATCATCTACGTACAAAACAAAAAATGTAACTTTATCTCCATTCCACTTCTTATAGACACAAGACTCATTTTCACATTGATCAAAACCGGAGGTTTTAATCGATGTGTCAAAACAAGTCTTCCATGCCCTAGAAACTTGTTTCAATCCATAAATAGATTTCTTTAATTTACACACCATGTTCTCATTGCCACTTTTATGAAACCAACAGGTTATGCCATATAGATGCACTCATCAAGACTTCCATTTAGAAAAGCGGTCTTGACATCCATTTGCAAGATCTCATAATCGTAATGAGCAGCAATGGATAAGAGAATCCTAATGGATTTAAGCATGGTCACTGGCGAAAAGTTTTTCTTATAATCGATCCCTTCTTTTTGAGTAAACCCTTTTGCAACAAGCCTAGCTTTAAAGGTTGCACTTTTCCATCCACTCCTCTCTTTTTCTTATAGATCCATCTACAACCTATGGGTTTGACTCCAGTAGGTGGTTCTACAAGATCCCAGACTTGATTGGAGTACATGGACTCCATTTCAGATTTCATAACATCAATCCATTTATCAGCATCTATATCTTGTAGTGCTTCGTCGTAATTAATAGGTTCAGTATTAGGCTCTTCAGGGATTCTATCATAAGATTATCCCAAGAGCGCAAACCGAGAGGTTTTCTAATAATTCTCCCACTACGACTAGTCACTACAGGTGGAGGCTAATTTTGTTGTTGAATCACAATATCATTTTCTGGAACTGAGGCCTCAATGTTATCCTCCACACCTTGCAGTGCTAGGATATCATTAACTTCTTCCTGGAGTGCAGGCTGCATAACAATTTCAGGTTGTTCAACAATCTGAGGTTGCTCAACATTACTCCCATTACTTTGGGGCAGTGAGATGTCAGGCAATTGCTCTTGTGCAATCTGCTGCCTATTGACATTTCTCCCACTACGATAATGCAGTGGTATGTCAATACTGGCTTCCGGGATACGTTCTAGAGATGAGTCTTTAGTTACTCCATTATTTAATTCCTGTAAAACTAGTTTACTTCTAGGAATTTGGTTCGTTAGATAGTCCTCTTCTAAAAATCTGGCATTTGTCGTAACAATTACCTTCTTTTCTTTGGAACAATAAAACAAACAACCTTTAGTTCTTTTTGGATATCCAATAAAAATGCATACTTCTGTCCTTGATTCTAATTTATCCGCTTTCCCTTTCAGCACATGTGTTGGACAACCCCAAACCCGAATATGCCATAAACCTTGCTTGCGCCCAGTCCATAATTCTACTGGGTTGAAGGTACTGACTTTGAAGGAACCAAATTTAGAATGTAGTTTGCTGTTTCTAAAGAATATCTCGAAAAGGAAGAAGGCAAATCGGAATAACTTAACATTGATCTAACCATTTCCATAAGGGTCCTATTTCTTCTTTCTACCACACCATTATGTTGTGGTGTTCCTGCGGCAGATAATTAAGATGTAATTCTACTATCTGATAAGTATTTTATGAATTCCGCAGAAAGGTATTCACCACCATGATCAGATCGCAATGTTTTGATATATTTATCATGTCGTTTCTCCGTTTCCGTCTTAAATTCTTTGAATTTCTCAAAGCATTCAGACATACGTCGCAACAGGTAAATATATCCATATTTTGAGTAATCATCTGTGAAAGTCACAAAATACTCAAAACCACCTCTTGCTTGTATATTCATAGGGCCACACAAATCAGAGCAAATTAATTCTAGCTTATCGCTGGATCTATTTCCTTTTGAGGGAAAATATCTCTTGGTCATTTTACCTTCTAAACAGGTTGGTAGTGACTCCATTTTCAATGAACTCAAAGGTCCATCACAGAACAATCTCGAAATCCTATTTAGATTTATATGACCTAGACGTAAGTGCCACAAATAAGTTTGACTCAATTCAGATATACGTTTTCTTTTATGTGGCAGATTAATGTTATTTAATTCTTTTGGTTGTTGTAGCATATGAGGAGATACATCAAGAATAAAAAGATCATATATTCTAGCAGCAGTGTAGATAAAACGTTTATTAAACTTAATAACAACAGAGTTATTAGCAAAATAAATATTATAACCATCATCCATTATTTTCGAAACCGAAATCAAATTCCTTCTAATAGAAGGTACATAGAGAACATCTTTTAAAACTAAAACTCTATCACTACTAAATGAAACTCTAATATCTCCTAAAGCTAAAGCTGGTGCTGGCTCGCCATTGGCTCGAAAAACGCAAACTTCATTCTCACTTAGTCGCCGCATTTCCTGAAACCCCTACAAAGTAGTGCAGATGTGATTAGTGGCTCCCGAATCTACACACCAAAACATGGTAGAAACAGCCGCTAAACAAGTTTCAACAACATTAAATTTGAATTACCTTGCTTATTCGACTTTGCCAGATAGGCAGGGCATTGCTTCTTGTGATGCCCAGGTTGCTTGCAATGATAGCACTTGCTTTTGGGCTTTTTCACACCAGCCGTACCACCAGGTGCCAACACCTTTTGAGCCTTCTTCTTTTTCTTATTGCCTTTCGACTTAGAAACCGAAGCTTTCTCAACATTGAGTGCCAGAACTGGAGCTTATTGTTTGATAATAGATTCTGCCGCTTATAGCTTATTCAACAATTTTGCTAGTGACAACTTCATTTTGTTCATATTATAGTTCAAGCGAAACTATTGAAAACTGTCAGGCAGAGTCTGCAGGACCATCTCAATTTGAGACTCCTTATCAATCACAGCTCCAAGGACCTCCAGTTCATTCAGAAGACTCATAATCTTCAGAACATGGTCCCTGATCGATTATCCTTTAGCCATCTTAGTGTTCAAAAGGGCTTTCATGGTTGTCTGCTTAGCTGCACGATTTTGCTCACCGAACATCTCTTTGGGACTTTCGAGCATATCATAAGCAGACCTCATAGATTGATGCTGTTGTTGCAAAACATTTACCATAGAGACAAGAATGTAACATCGCGCCATCTCATCAGCCTTAACCCATTTGTTATAGGCCTTAACCTGATCATCAGTAGCATCTTCAGGTTTTTCTGGGCACTCCTCGGTGATTACAAATTTGTAACCTTCAGCAGTTAGGACAATATCAAGGTTCCTTTTCCAATCAACATAATTCGGTCCTTTTAACTTGTTTTGGTTCAAAATTGAGGTAAGTGGGTTGAATGAAGACATGGTTAATCTGAGAGATATTCACATTAAATAGATCATTAGTTATGTATTTAGAATAATTAAATTCAAAATAGCACATTACACATATAACCATGCTTATTGAACAATTAGATTCGTTAAGGAAACTTAACTATTCATGCAAAATATGTGTGTGATGTAAGATATTAACCCCATAAATTTAAACAGGACCAACTCAGATGGAGAGTAAACTGTTAATTTAAGATAGGTATATATCACATTTATAAACTCTAGTTTCATTGAATCAGCACGTAACTCAGTTGGAGAGTTAATACAAAATCTATCTGATGTGGTAGAAGACCTATGTCAACATATAAATTCATTATATTACTATAAAACATGATTGGAAACAATGGCAATTGAACCCTACCATCACAGATTTCTTTTAAAAATTCTTTTATTAAAAAAATTTTCTAGAAAATAGAAAAATGGCCAAAAACCCATCTAAACGACCCTGAATGCCCAAAAAACGACATACGTCATGAGCAGAGATGATGCGTATTTCTCACTGGGCCGTTTCCAAAGAACCTACCAAATTTGAGGTCAATCGGAGTTCGATAGAATTTCAGAATTCTAAAATCAAGACCTATTTCTAGAATTGTGTTTCTGGCGTTTTTAAGGGGTTTTATTATTTTGACTTGTTCAAATCACATAATATACTGATGTATGTTAAACATGATTTCAGAACTCAAAATAATATTTTTTATTTTTATTTAATAAAAACGTATTTAGACAGAATTGTAAAAAACAGTATGTTTTTCACTATTCAAAAACGCCACTGTTCATAATGTTGTATATTAATCCAAAATTACAAACTAATATCATACAAAACAGTCAAGTTTTTATTAATATAAAACTTGACAAAACGCAACTAAAACAGATTAATGGAATTGATTCACTGTTTATGCATGTGTATATTAACCCATAATTACAGAATTGATAGCATTCAAAAACAATCACGTTTTTTACTAAAAAACAGATTGCTCTTGATCAAAAAACGTAATTAAACAGACAATCATTGAATATAACACCACTGTTTATACATGTGTATATAAATTCATAAATTTAGAATTATAGAATTAAGATATTAAAAAATACAATCACGTTCTTGACATAGAATAATCATACCAAACATGTATCAATAAACAACACATTTTATTATTACTCTATTCATGCTGTATTACATTATCTAGTTAGATGTAAGACGGCGTTTTCACATGATAACTTATAAGCTTACATAAAGGGATATCATAAAACTCAAAACCGAGTCATGGATTCTATCAACTAATTATTATTCACAAATTTTATTTGTTATTGTCCAATCTATTAGGCATACACTAACTCTGAATAGAGTCGTACCTTTTGATAAATCAAAACAATAAATAAATTATATTGATCATAATAATTATATCAAGATTAGGAGTATAAGCTTATTTAATGAATTAGAGAAAATGTTTTATATATTCAGTACAAAAACATCTTTTCTCTACTTGGTCCGTTCAATATACACCGAGTATACTAGCACACGGAGTTGGAGTAAAACTACTCCCATAATCAAGACAAATTATACTATAATCTTGTGCTACAATCATCAAGATACTTTGTCCAATAATATCTTTGATTGTGAACATAGTTTATTAATTATGAGAACCAACAATTTAATCTTCTATGCATGAGCTAAGACTCCGTACACTAAATTGTCTACTACATAACTAAAAGGACACACATGTAATAAATGATCTATTTAAAATAGTACTTTATTGAATTGAATAAATTAAATAAATAACTGTTCCACAAAGAATAAATTATAATACTATGTATAAACCGCATGGTTAATAGTATATCCCAACATAACTAATCGTGATCGGAACGTAGCAGGGCAAGGTTCAACCCCATGTTATATCAGACCATGATATAAAGATTGCCGATCTTGCGAACCAGAGATCGACTGAGACCGAGATCGGCGAAGTTCGAGGCCAAGCAGGATAGAGATTGAGCAAGATTGAGGGAAGCTTTCCAAGCCGAATAACGAAAAGCCGAAATATCCGCAATCGAACGAGGATCACGGTGGAAATCTCGGCACGTATCAAGAAGATGCCGATTAATTAGCTAATCATGGGATCTCTTACTGTATTTAGAATTGTAATAGTGGTATGACTCCCTTACTATATAAAGAGGATCTGATCATTTGTAAAAGACATCACATTTACGTAATACAAAGCAAAATCCTACCTTTCTCTTAAGCTTTCAATACTCTATTACTTTGTTCATATTTTCCAGTAGAATATTCGTTTGGTTCAAGGGCGACCTAGCTCGAGGGCCAAAGCTATACACTTCCTTTGGTTTGCTTTTATTTCTATTTAGAGTCAATTTCAATACCAATTTACGTATTTTCTCAGTTTGTGCTAAGTAAAATCGTGTGTCCTTAAAACCACATATAAATTCGTTTGTTATCCGTTTTTAGGGTAAACATATATAACAAATGCATTGCTCCGAAATTTGACAAAATAACTGCTTTGCAAAATTGGCTCTTACCAATTAATGTGAATATCGATCAGCAAAATAGATAATAAATTAGTGAGTTATTTAATCGAATCTTTCAGTCAGTTTATCATACTTAAAAATTGCTTATTAAAATTTATTTACTTCGTGGAATCCAAAAGCTAATGTGTTCGTTAGGACTTTGCCCAATTAACAAAAATATTGTTTATAATAATGAGATAATAACTAATTTAAAATTATCAATTCCTCCAAAAGAATACTACTGTAACAGATGCCAGTAAATGAAGGAAAATACTTTATTTATAAATTTCTGATTGATCGCTACAGTTTTTTATTTCCTCAACAAATATAAAATAAGTTATCAATACCCCTATTTATAATATTCGGAAACCTATTTCAACTAGAAACGGGAAAGCCTATTCCAATATTTATTCTAACTGCAAATCCTATATAGACATGAATTAAATAAACCAAATCCTAAATAACTAAGATTTTCTACTACAACTTTGAATTAGTTTTTCAACATTCTCCCATAATTCAAAGTTGTATAGGTCTGACTTGTTCGTTGTGCAATTATGTTGGAGCACTTCTCTCCAACTTTCACTTTTGATGAAGCACAGATCTCCATCCCTCAATTTGTTGATGTACCTGTCTCCAACTCACGTCGATGCACTTTGTCACCAACACTCAATTTTGTTGAAGCCCCTGTCTCTAACTCACGTTGATGCACTTTGTCACCAACCGTTGATGCACTTTGTCACCAACACTCAATTTTTGTTGAAACACATAATCAACTTCCAACCTTTTTAAATATCTCTCCAACTTTTAGAGAAGAGTTTCTTCATCTTGTGCCATATTTTTTTGCACTTCTTTAAACTTGTTTTTTTCTTGAATCTGTCTTGAAACTTTTCATCAAATAATCTAATTTGTTTTTACAACTATCTATGATTTAGCCAACATATTTTTGGCCAGACGGGTGGCACACTTTGGCTAGCGCCACCCGCCGGCAGCGATAGCTTTTTGATTCTCTCCCGAGATCGTAGAAACTCTGATACCAATATGAAGGAAAATATTTTATTTATAAATTTCTGATTGATCTCTACAATTCTTTATTTCCTCCACAAATAAAATAAGTTATCAATACCCCTATTTATAATAGTCGAAAACCTATTTCAACTAGAAACGGGAAAGCCTATTCCTATATTTATTCTAACTGCAAATCCTATTAGACATGAATTAAATAAACCAAATCCTAAACATCTAAAGTTTCCTACTACAACTTTGAATTAATTTTTCAACAGTAATGTAAAAAAATACGGAGATATTGAAGATGTCACGACCCGGATTTCCCACCCTCGGGAGTCGTGATGGTGTAACGACCCGGCCGGTCATTTTTGAAATTTACGCCCCGATCCCCTATTAACTGCTTTCCCCAAGTTTATTTCTGCTATTTCGTTTTGCCGGGATGTTCGGTTTTGAGTTTCGGAGAGTTTTGGGACACTTAGTCCTAAATGAGAGCTTAAGTGTTGAAAAGCTGACCGTAGTCGGAATAATGTAAAGACGGTATCAAAATGGAAATCCGACGGTTCCGTTAGCTCCGTTAGGTGATTTCGGGTTTAGGGGCGTGTTCGGATTGTGCTTTGGAGGTCCGTAGCTAATTTAGGATTGAAATGCCGAAGGGATGAATTTTTGAAGTTTCCGGTTCGATAGTGAGATTTTTATCCGAGGGTCGGAATGGAATTCTGAGAGTTGCAGTAGTTCTGTTATGTCATTTGGGACATGTGTGCAAAATTTCAGGTCATTCGGACGAGGTTTGATAGACTTTTTGATCGAAAGCGTATTTTGAGAAATTTAGAGTTCTTAGGCTTGAAGCCATTGCTAATTTGAGGTTTCGATGTTGTTTTAGGTGTTTTAAGGATTGGTACAAGTTTGGGGAGTGGTATTAGACTTGTTGGTGCCCTTGGTTAAGGTCCCGGGGGCCCTGGGATGATTTCGGATGGTTGACGGGGAGTTTTGAGGTATATTGCAGCTGCTGAACTTTGCTGATTCTGGTATTTCCGAACCGCAGGTGCGATGTCGCACGTGCGGTAAAAGAGACGTAGAAGCGGAAAAAGGAGGGATTCATCAATAACCGCAGACGCGGTGTAATTTCCGCAGAAGTGATACCGCACCTGCGGGTAGGGAGCCGCAGATGCGGAATCTGGCGTTCAAGTGAGGGGTCGCAGGTGCGACCTTTTGTCCGCAAATGTGCCGCATATGCGAAAACTGCTGGATAGAGATTTAAAAGGAGTTCCGCGACCTTGGGGTTGTTTCCACCATTTTTATCACGACTTTGGAGCTTTTTGGGCGATTTGAAGGAGGGGTTTCAAGAGAACTTCATTGAGGTAAGTAAATTGGGCTTAAAACTCGTTCCTCTGTCATTATTTCATGGATTAGAGCTAGAAATTTAGGGAAAAATCAGTAGTAATTGTGGGATTTAGGGC